CTGCTATAAACATAGGCACACATATATCCCTATGATATGATGTTTTCAGATACTCCGGGAAAATTCCCAGTAGAGGAATAGCTAGTTTAAATGGGATTTCCAGTCCAACTTTTGCTACCATGTTCTTATAGTGTTTTTGAGTATATTGTTCTGCATCATTTTCTTACTGGCTACTCTAGATACGACAGTATGTACACATAGTCTAATCACATAGACATAAAACAGTCTAGTTGTACTGACATTTTACCACTTCAGGTGAAGTGTAGAAATCTTATTTCTACTAGGTTCAATTGACTGCCCTTATTTTTTAAGCATAATTGTCTCAAAAATCTTGTACATTGAATATAACATCATATAGAGTTATAATTTTTGTTTCCAGCATTCAATATGATCTAAGAAATGCAGGGCAAATTGAATAGTATATTTACTCTTCTTTTCATGTATTTTGATGTTCTTTTTTCCTTTATATGATACTTCAAGTGTTCTGTGTTGTTTCCTTTCTATTTATCTAGCATTAAAGGGTAGGTCTTTTATCAGCAAATTATCTCAATTTTACTTTGCATGAAAATAGTACTTTTTCTTCTTCATCCATCCTCAAAATACATGTACGTTGTTGGCGACACATTCTTTTTCTCTCAGTGCTTGAGAAATGTTATTTTACTTCCTTCTAGTCCCCATGATTTCAGATGAGAAATCTATTGTCAGTTAGGTTGGTGTCCTGTTTGTTTGTTTGTTTGTTCATTTGTTAGACATAGGGTTTCTTTGTAGCTAAGACTGGCTGCAAATTCAAAATCCTGTTGCCTTACTTCCTGAGTGTTGGGATTACATGTGTTTGCCACCATGTGTGGAGACTATGTCCTTTTAAGTAATGCATTTATTCTTTCTACTTACTTTCAGCATTCTATTGTCTTTATTTTTCACAAGGTTAATCACTTTGTTTCTTTCTTTCTTTCTTTTTTGTTTTTTTTTAAATTTTGCAGAACTGGGGATTGAACTCAGACACTTGCCAAGCAAGCAGTTATTCTACTGAGCTAAGTCCCTGGCCCTTACTTTGTTTCTTAGAGTTATTGGATTTGTTTAAGCTTCTTAAATATGTGGGTTTGTATCTTGCCAAATTTTGGTAATTTTTCAATCTTTTTGTGTTCCTAAATACCTTTTCAGTCCTGATCTCTTTCATTTCCTTCTAGAACTCCTACTTTAAAAATGCTACCTCTTTCATTATTGTCCTTCAGATCTCTGAGACTTTTAAAAATTTATTTCTGCCTATTTTCTCTTTGTTGTCCAATAAATTCTAATTACCTGTCCTGAAGTTTACTTATTGTATCCTCCGTCAACTCCAATCAAGTATCCAATCATTCAAGTAAGTTTGTTATTTCTATTTTATCCATTTGATTCTTTTTCATGACTTCTATTTCTTTGCAGAGATTTTCTATTTTCTCATTTGTTTCAAGAGAATTCAAAGGGCTTGCAAAAGCCTTTTTTGATCTTTGCTTAAAAATTCTTTTCAAATAATTTCAATGGCTTAATACTGGCATTTGGGTTGATTGTCTTTCCTCTTAAAGTTGTGCCTCTCCTGGTTTTCCTAGTGACATATTTTTGTTGTATTCTGGACATTTTTTGTATTAAATTTGGAGTATTTGTGTCCTATTTATATCTATTGTTTCTCATTAGTTAATGCCTTTAACTGAGGTATGATGCAAGGGATGGGTGTGCTTATGTTTAGCTTTCGATAGGACTTTATCCATCGTATCCCACCCAAAAATGCAGTACACATGGGTGAAAGGGAAAGTCAGCTCCTCTTTTAACTCCCCTGACTCACTGCATGACACCACTTTATTGCTTCTTGGTGGGGATGTAAGCTTAGTTCCCAGCTGAGGTCTAGTGACCTCAAATCAAGAGAAAGTGGAGTACTTACTTATACTGCTTTTGAAGTAGGGAGCGGCAGAATTTCATCTTCTTATCACACCTCACTGACATAAAGGAAGGGAGGGAGCAGGATATCAACTTCTGTCACATGCCACCTCATTCAACCTGATTGGTGCTGGCTTGACATTAAGGTGTGGCTCCCAACAGTGCACTGCTCTTAGTGAGTTCAATGATAGGAGAATAGCTGACTAACCCTGCTTTCTCCATGCCTCATTTAGTCTTCGTTTCACCAGTGACTATGGAGATCAGACTACTCACTAAACCTTACTGACCGCAGACTGATGGAAATTGGAGCCTTAACTATCCTCAACTTGCATTATCTTGCTCAACATTAATGAACATAGTAGATTCAAGAGGTTAGATTCTCTGCTAACTTCCACTGACACCAGATCAAGAGTGAAGTCCAGTGGTAACTAATCTTACCTCACATGGTATCATGTTGCTCCTGGGTGGAGATTTAAGTGTAATGTGCCATTGGATCCCACTGACAATTTCCTGTTGGGGAACTGAAGCACTACCTGCTCTGCCAGGCAAGAAATTCCTAATTACCTTCCTGCTGAACCTTGCCTCAGCAGGAGCCAGTGCATCAAAGACTAGTTGGATGCTCAGGGTTTTTGATACCTCCTGCAGATGAATTGAAACTCCTTATGGTCTTTTTCTGGTGAGAAAAGCATATTTTCTCACCAATATTACGCATTCAGGGAATGGATTGCTTTGACTAATAACTGGGGAAGGAGAAAGAAAATCCTATCTCCTTGGCCATACTTATTTAGAAAAATGCTAAGAATCTTCCATCATGCTGAGTTAAGATAAGTGGAAGCAAGAGAAGGAGAGAGAACAGATTAGCTATTCTTACAGTAATTCAGTAGATTTCTTAATAAAATTTTATTTGATATATTCCTTCCCTTGGGATAATTTCTAGACAATTTGAATGTTTATTTTAAAACTATCATTACCTGTTATTGTTGTTTTTTGGGAAGCAGGTTTCAGAGCCTCCTCCCGTGCTATCTTCTCCAAGTCCTACTGTGCTGTTTTTGAAATATGACCATACTGCATCCTTTTATTTTTCAGCTCAATAGTAACTCCTGTGATGACTTATAGTCAGCTGGATGGTCAGATAAACAAATGTAGCCTTGAGGAAGAAGATCAAGAAAACTGCTTTCAATACCAGGCTACTCAGGGCAATGCTTGGGATCATAAACTGATTGAGAATGGTGAGAAGGTAAGAAACATTAATAGCTTCCACATATTTTTCTTAAGTCTAAAGCTCCCTGAATTTGGAAATGTTGCATATTTGAGAAAATGATAAGTACATTTAAATAGTTACATTATTTCTTTCTTAGCTCTCTTTAAAGGTTACTGCTTTACATGAAGAAGTGGAAAAAATGAAACTAGAGCAAAAAAGGTAGAACCTAAGATTGCCTTGATTGAAATATTAAAGACCTATATTTCAATTTTCACCTTGTTTATTAACATTAATTTTGTTACTACAAACTCCTTTCATCAGCTCTTCTGTTGACTTATATTATTCAGGTTGGAACAAGAATTAAATTTTATCCTGTATCAGAAGAAAGAGCTAGAAGATCTAGTGACTCCTGCAGAGGAGTCTGTGAAGAACGAGAGTGGGCTTGTTTATCTGCAGCATACAGAAGAGAAGGAGAGGATGTAAGTAACTGATGAAGGCTAAGAAATGGGCCAGAACATAACAACTACTATGAGTGTATTTCAAGAAAAGAAGGGAAACATTGACTCAGAAGGCAGAGAATAAATATTAGTAGAAAAAGCAAGTTCTTAAAGCTGACATTGATCAACTAGTTTGTTTCCTGGATGTCTGAAAATGAAGAAATCATTGCAGCAGTTTCATTTTATAGTATTCTGTTGTTAAGCTGAAGCTTACGTATGTGTGCTGTAAAGTTTTTACGTTTGTCAAGTTCATTGTTGAATTAGAAATACAAATTTTATGTGTGTGGTATCATGGTATTGTGGAATACTTACTATCTCTTATTCATATTTGACTCTTCTAAACCTAATGCTCATACAGATGCTTTAGTGTTAAAATTTTTCCTATTTTAAAGGAAACCTGTTAATCTACAGGTAAACTATATAACCTAGAGATACTTCATTTGTGGAGGTTTTTTTGTTTGTTTGTTTTGGGTTTTTTTGGTTTTTTTGCGGTACCGAGGATTGGACTCAGGACCCTGTGCTTGCAAGGCAAGCACTTATTCTACCGAGCTATCTCCCCAGGCCCGCATTTGTGTATTATTTAGTCTTTGCCTTCTATGACTCTATTGTCAAAGTTCCTGCAGTTACTTTATCACACTAGATCTAAGATTTGGTAATCAGACCAACTTATAAAGTGCTAGGAAACTATATGGATGCATTACATAATCTAAACTGAGACTAAATCAGGCTCATTTTATCAGTGGCTTACTAAACTTAAAGCTGAGTTTTTTAAGATGAGTCTTTGTATATTGCCCAGATTGGTCCTGAACTCTGGGGCTCAACTGTTCCTCTTGCCTCAGCCTTCTGAGTAGTTGAGACTGCAAGAACATATCACTGCATCTGGCTCAGCTTAGTTTTTTTTTTAAACTTATAAATTAACATTTTATAGGGATAATAACTGTAGCAAGTAAAATTAATGAATACTGACCCTAGCTCTATTTTGCTTTTATATTTCAGCTCTTTAAAAATCTATAAATTTTCTTTCTTCATTCTTTCATTCATCTGTTTTCTTTTTTTCATTCTTTCTTTCGTTGCTTTCATTCATTTTATTATGTTTTGAAAACATGGAGTTACATTTTTGTTCCTAGCTATAGTTTATGAAATGATTGAAACATTAATTCCTTTCCAATGTTTTGTAGTTAAATTTATATTGTGATAAGATTTTCACCAAAAACAACAATTTAGGCAACCTACCAGAAGTTTGATATAGAAAGGCAGTAGATAGTTATCAACATGTTCATTGATCAGGTTAAATTTGTACATGCATGCGCACGTGTGAGTGTGTAGTAAGTACTTTCAGTTAAGTAATTTGGCTACTAATCAACTTATTATAAACTTAGATTTATCTTTTATTATCATAAAGCTCATTTATTAAAACATCTTTTATCAAGTATATTCATGTAAGATTTTACTTTGAAAATTTATGTATTCACTATCTGTTATGGTTTGGGTCTAGATGTACCCTCAAAGCCTCACAAAGTTTTAGAAGAGCCTTTTTCAGAGTTGCCTAAATCTAGTGTAGTGCTGGGGTTAAGAGTGGATGATTGCTGGATCAGTCCACTGATTGGATTGGTACCGCCCTAATCCTGACAGAGTAGACATGATATAAGAGGAAAAAGAGACTTGTCTCTTTCTCTCTCTGTTTTTGCTGTTTTTCTCTACCATGACCTGTTGCCATTCTGCCATGCCACCCTGCCTTGGAACCAGCTGATTATGGCCTGAAACCTGTATATACTGTAGGCTAAATAAAACTATAATCTTTAAACTTTGATGTGGGTATTTTGTCTTAGAGAAGAGTAAACAAGATAGGACTTGGTACCAGAGCAGTGGGGCCATTGCTATGAGTATACCTGACCATGTGGTTCAGGAGCCTTTGGGAATGTTTTGTAGGAAGAGTTAGGAATGATTCAGAGATGTCAGCTGAAAAGGTAGAGCTGGAACTCCTTAGGCTGTCTGGTCAGAGCTTAGAAGACCAGAAAGCCAGTAAAGACCAGGCTCAGGATACCTCTGATGGTAAGAAGAACTACACTGAGTATTAGAGTACAGATGGTATGTAATATAGCTCAGCAGAAAGTTTGTCTGCATTTTACTGGTGTCCAGAAACTTAACCTGAGACTGAGATTAAGGGTGGCAGATTACTTAATCTGTCAGAAATTTCAAGGTAGTTTAATATGTAGGTGGTGGCATGGATACTGTTGGAGGATTTTAGCCAGATTTATGTTGAGTATCAAGAACAAAGCCCAGCAGAATGATTTAAAACATTGTGAGTCTGAACAGAAAGGAAGCTTCAGTAAAACTATGAACTGCAAAGACAGAGCAGAGGCGACCTTGCTTGCTGAGAAGCAACAGGACAATAGAAAGATGGCCTTCTGGCATCATAAAAAGCAACAGGACTCCACCCTTTGCAACCTCAAAATTACAACCATGAAAGACTGTGCCTTGAGCAGAAAGCCCCAGTGCATCATTTTCCAGAATCGTGGCAACATAGAGTATTTGTTCCTCAGAATTGGATCCAGAATATTCAATAATCCAAACACTCAACCCCTACACCTAAGAGAGATGGAAGCCTGGATACTATTCTATCTGGTGCAGACCTTGGAATCATCCATGTGGCACTGGCTTTAGGAATATGCAGAATGAAAGAGTTTTAGAGTTAAGAAAGCCTCTGCCCCAATTTCTGAAGGCCTAGAAGGCCAAGCAATGTGTCACTGAGAGGGCAGTGTGTGAAGCTGTGAGTGGAGAGCCAAAAGAGCAATAGAGACCCCACAACCTTGGCGAAGCCAGGAACATAGATCACCTGACAAAGACTGAGAAGAGAGAGCAGAGTGAGCTCAAGAGAGAAGCCATGGAAGCTACAAGCACCAGAAGTGCAATAGGGGCAGAGTCAACCAAGCCCTTTGCAGTTCACATCTTGCCATAGATTGCTTTGGATGTTGTACATGGAACTACAGCAGGACTTAATGTTTGCCCTCTTGGATTTTGGATGTTAGAAATGTTTGACTTTCTTTTCATTTGTTCAGGGGCCTATGCTAAAAGTTTGCCTTAAGTCTTGGAGGAGACTTGAGACATAGACTTTTCAGCAATGTTGAACTGTTAGGATTTCAGCAAATTTAAGAGATAGACTAAATGATTTCTGCATAGGAAAATGTAGAGGAGTCTTTGTGGATCCAGTGGCAGAATGTTATGGTTTGATATTCCCCCAAAGCCTCATGTACTTTTATTTATTTATTTATTTTTAATTTTTTCCCACAATTTTATTGAGAAACAAATAGCAATGATACAGTTTCAAATCAAATTGGTAGGACAGTTTCAATAATTAACACATTGCATACATTCTTCCTAGTGGTTAATTGCTGTAC